AGTCAAAAACTTATTTAATCCTACCCTTCTCCGAATCTTAACAAAAAAAGTAAATTCTTCTTTTTCCTTATTCTAATTTACAATTTCATAAAGATTAAAACAACTAGAATAAGTAGAATAGTAGATCTGAACTAAATAAGCCTTTTACACCCATTATCCTTTGTTCAGTTTGCTCATTGTCAACACAAATCCCAAGTTTGTTTTCTTTGTCACAAGTTTTATTTGAAAAGTTACCTCCCAGCTCTATTGTTAAACTAATTCTTTAAGGCAAGCTCAAGTGTCCGAGTTATCATTATGYGAAATGTACTGAGTTTCTATGTTGGACCTGAACATTCGTTTGTGCTGCCTTAAGCTGTTTTTCAAGATGGAAACAAAGGAAACACAATAAAATGCCACACAGGATTCTCTTTTCCACGAAAAGGCTGAAATACAATACAGTTCCCGTAATAATAAACCATCATGGCAGTTTTATGTACATACGTGGAAAACAACAAATACAAAATTCTCTGCGTATCACTTTTTCAAGCATGTTTATTTTTCAAAAAGTTGTTTTTACTCATGTCTTGACTAAAACAATAATTTGTCTTGTAGGACCAATCTGTTTATTTAATCTATGCCTATGGAGACACAGATGAGATGAAATACCATGAGCAACGCCGAGGCCAAAAGCAACTGAACCTGTTCAGTTATAAAGAGTCTTCTGATGCAAGCCGATTCTGTGCTTCCTGGACTGTGACCACAGGAGGAACCATGCTTTTGCTCTGGATTGCTTTCATTTAACCTGGCAGCATGAGTGCCAGAACACTGTGCAGTTTTAATAATAATGATAATGATGATGATGATGATAAAATGAAAAAAACTGATATAGAAAAGTAGGACAGTTAAAATGTAGGGTTGTTTTATTTTTGTCAGTAATATGTGCGTTCATTATCTTAGAATTAATATGTATAGGTTTAAATTCTGGTTTTTAATCTTCTGCATAAATAAAATATAATTATTAGCATTTTGTTGTTCTTCACTACTGACTTTTTTCCTTCTTCTTTTATTTCTTTATTTTTTTTGCTTTATTATGAACACCACATTTACCATGATTGATAAGTCAATAAGCACTGTGGCATAACAATTTCAATATTTAAATATAATGTAGTTTATTCAAATTCCATTTACATGCATACACATAAAAAGTGCATTTGCTGTTATTTTTGTTTATTGCATTCATTTTAAAAGTAGTTGTAGAGATTTATATGTATACAGATGATCAAATAAACTATGATTTTTTTTATTTGTATCAATGCTTTTTTGAGTAATACAAAAAAATGATGTTATCATAATCTACAGTAAAGTGGCAGCAGTGACATTGCAGTTCCACATTTCTCCTCTAGGGGCGCTCTAACCGCTGTGACTGTCATAATAAACAGGGAGAATAAGAGTGGACAGCTAGCCCCCTGGCTGGTAGCTTCGGCAATGTTGTCACTATCAGAATGATATCACAGCGGGACAGAGGAGAATTTGCTCGGTTTTATACTGTCACGAACCCTACAAGGCATAAAGAAGGCCATACGGTGTACAAAGTCACCGCAACCGTAAGTAAAATAGAGTCTGAGCGCTTTGACAGCTASTCTAAAGCTAGCTGTGGCTAGCTAACGAAATGAGACATAAGAAAACAACAGCAGTGTAACCTCGTAATAACCTCACATTGACAATATGTGAAAGCCGCAGATGTAATTCGGATGTAAAGCTTGCTAAAAAAGAAAAAAAAAATGGAAGTCATTTTTATTCCCCGTTAATTTTCTGATGGTTGAAACACCAGCAAGACAAACTGCTTGAGCAGAAGCAATGAATGAAATATCGCATAAAAACGAATAACCTGGCATATATGAAACCATATTATGTTGTCATAATATCATGGTTTTATATGAGTAAAGTCTTTTCACATAGAAGTATCAAGAAAAAACAGTAGACCTGTTGTAAAGTGGATAAAGGGACAATAAGCCATTAAAAAATGGAATTTTGATAAAACTGTCCAGATTTGTAGTTTTTGAACCGCACCCGATGTGATCTAGATGCCAAAAAAGCATTTAAATATTTAGAATTATTTTATATTTGTAAATCGCTAACAAATTATAAACTATGTTTAAAGTGATCCACAAGTAATCCAGTACAGATTTGACAAGTCTAGGTATTTTAGGTTTTAGCTGATAATATGTCCAGATG